AGTATCAGTAGTCTCTTGATAAAGACTTGTGAAGAGTGTAGCTTAGTCAAAGTTTCTTTTGAATGAGAACTACTGAAAATGTTTAAGCGCAGGAACATTATAATCATAGTGGTTTTAGAGATTTACCAGTAAGTGTGGGGAGAGGCAGATAAACCAGTTGTCAAAGTCTAGGGCAGCTGTGGGAATGGAAATAGAAGTATGTGAAAGATATTGCAGAGGAAAAAGGAAAAGTTGGGTACTCCGTGTCTGTGAATGGGAAGGAAAGAGACTTCATCTCAGGGTGAGTCCATTTGAACTGGGGATGACGGAGGCTATAACTTTGAGGCATTTACTAATAATCTCGATGCCTAGGAAACATAAAAGGAGTTTTGAAAATACTCTACAAAAGCTAACGTAGCAAGTCTAGGCAAAAATGCAATCAAAATTAAAGTCAAATAAATATATAAACCATAAAAAGGGTAACCCCATCAGTGCAAGAGCAAAAGGTCGGTAAGAGCCTGAGGGAGAGTCTCTTTTCCCAAACAGAGTCCTTTGTGAAGAGGGGTCAGCTGGGAGCAGAAAAGAATGTGCTGTGTGATGAATCTGGAGCTATGAAGCTTTGACCAGATGAGTGGAATAGTGAACATGAAGTTGATATTCTATTCAGATTCCCTAGAGCCTATCGCATTGTAAATTCAAAAGGCTAATAAAAGAAAAAACTACAACTCTAATATACAAGTTGGGGAGGTCCTAGTGCACTGAGGCCGAGCCACAAACATCAAGCCAAGCTGCAAAGCTGTACATGAGCTGGGGCGATGTCCAGCAGTATATGGATTACGTGGAAAGGTCTCTGATGACCCAGCGTCAGCATGTTCCAATTGGTCATTGCTGGTACACTGTTCTTTTTTTTTTTTTTTTTTTTAATGTAAAGAAGGGTTGAGGGCTGACCATCATTTCTAGTAATACCTGAAAATTCATTTTTGATAACTGACTTGTCTGTTCATTTCACCTCCTTATCCAGGATCCTCTGGTCATTTTAAAGTCTCGCTCAACTCATTTTCATTTCTGTTGACAGAGGTCCTATAACCTGTGGCAAAGTCTTCACTGATTTACACTGAAATGAAACACTAAATAAGGACGGTGAAAATTCTTTTCATAATGCTTTGGCGAGGGTTCATAACACAACACCCAATGGCGTGGCTTTATCATTCTGAGTGCTTTTAAGTTGAAGGAGGCTAGAAAAGGCCTGGCTGTTCCCCACCTTCCTCTCTTCCTCCTTTCACTCCAGAAACATGTCATAGAACCTTGAATTCCTCTTCCCTAAAACAGGTCACAGAAACTGGGGTTCTTCTCAGGGTACCAAAAGGGGTACCTCTGTCCTCTCTCCTATTAAAGGCCACAGGACCCTCATTCTAGATCCTCCTTAGGGGCACCAGGTAGAATCTGAACAAACAGGCCTTGTTACTCTGGTCCCTCCACTCATCATCATCCGCTCATACATGTCTGGTCCAATCCTGACTACCCAGCTAGCCCTGCTTCATCCAACGTAAAAATAAAGTACACACATGAGTTACCCCGATGTGCCCCATCCCTTGTGATAAGCAAGGTACTGCAGTACATGCTTCCAACCCCAGAGTCGGTCCTTCTGACCAACTATCTCTCAACATCAGATTAGGCCTTTTCTGTCTTCAGTGGTAAATACCCTTTCTTTATGGAATGGTGGGGGCAACAGACTGGCTCTGCGTTGCTTCCCATGTTTAGTGTAACCAGCAAGTCTAGGGAGCTGTCTGTCTGCCTGGCCTTGTTACCCCTTGGCAAACTTCCTGCAGTGCCGCCAGTCAGGTCTGCCTTACTAAAAAGGTTGCTTTCTTTAAAGCCTTCTTCTGCATCATCTCTAAGGCCTGGCTCTCCTGCACAGTTCCACTGCAAGGACTCCCAGCCTCTGAAGGAGGATCAACAGCTAGCTTAGCTTTCTTCCCAGTGCTGATTTCAGTGCTGTATATCTAAGAATCCCCCAGTACCCTCAACTCCCTCTCCCCCTCCCTCAACCACTCCTGATCTGCCTGTGAAAACCACTATCCGCTCTCCAAGCCTGAGAGCAGAGGCCATCCCCCTCAGGGAAGTCCTAGCAGTCTCTTTAAGCTGGAGCTATCTCTGCTTATGTTCTGGTCCCTGTGGGGGATCCCTAGGACCCACGGGACACTCATTTGTTAGGAGGCAAACTTTGACACGTGACCATTTTGTCTGCTCTGTGGCTCCTCAGTACCGTTTCACCGTAACTTTCACACTGGAGAGTAATCAGAAACTGATGGGGAGACAGCTAGGAAGACACCCTGAGGGCTATTACTCATTCCTGGCCTTCTGTCTTGACACACTTTAGTTCAGTTAACGGCCTTGACTTTGATTTAGCCACTTGTTGGCAGGTGCACATTCAGAATTTCCAGGGCCAAACTGTTAAGTTGAGCCATTGAGGAGGAGCCAGCTTATCCTTAGGTCATTCTAACTGTACCACCTCCAAAGGTTACTTGTGTTTTTATTTCCCAAAGTACCAAAGGCTAACAGGTTGCCTCCTTCAATGCTCAGCCTCCTGGGCTGGAGCCCCCACGTGCTCTACTTCCTATGATAGAAAATGCCTGCCCAGCAGGAAATGGAATGAGTGGTAAGCCAGTGAAAGCATCGAGTCAAAGGTTGGCAAAATGCTTTCTGCAGGAGAAAGGTGAAGTTTCTGCCCGAGATTGAATGGGGCTGGAAAATACAAACCAGCAAAAGGGCAGGTCAGCGGCTGCGAGCAGGAATGAATCAGCTTGCTGCTGGCGAGTAGACTCATGCACAGTTCTCAACTTTGAATCGAGCCCTGTGATTTACAGAAAGGATAATGGGTCCGAGGTCAGGTGCCCAGCGGTTGGAGCGATAGCTCAGCCAGGGGAGCTGAACAAGTGATTTAACCACAACCACGTCGTCTTTATTTTTCCGTCTACAAGATGGGGGAAGGCTAATGAAGTGCAGAATGGCGAGAGCATTCAAAAGGATGTTAATATCTAGAGGACTTGGAGCTGTACGCAGTACAATGTGATGCGAGAATTACACCGAATGTAAGCCTCAACTTGAGAGTGATTGTGCTCATAATTCTGTGTCTCCGCCTTGCCATGTGAATGAGCCTACCCATGCTTGTTTCAGGATCAATAATGTCTTCAGAAAAGCAGTGACAGCAGTAAACTCTTTTGGATTTCTTTCATTTATGCCTTAATGTGCTCAGGGCGTTGGGATTTCTGGGGAGGGGAAGATGTCTGCTTTGTTTCCTCGGCTCTGCCTTTTCAGAGTCCAAGCAACGATGACACTTAATGGGGGCGTTTGTTTCTCTTGCCCTCCATCTCTCCCCACTTCCTCCTGAGTGCCCATCGCCACCGCTGGCTGAGCAGCGTGGCGGACTGTCAGAGCACGTCAGTCAAACCCGTGCTCTTGATGACACTGACCCCTCGGAGTTAATGGGTCAGCCCAGCAACAGACACTGAGCAGACCTGTCTTCGCCATCTTTATCGCCGGGAATCTCCCGACTGTAAACAACGCTTGCGTGCTTTTTCTACCCTGCTTTCCATATGGCTCTGTATTTATACCTACTGTTACGACTGGATGTTAGCCCGCCCCCGATCATTTTTTGCCTTCCTCTAAAAACATCCATTCTCCATTCTCTTCTGAGCCGGTTACAAGGAAGCTTCTGGAATTTCCATTGAGAATTTTGAGTTTGTTTTTCTCCATTAAGACGATGTGATCGTCTTTTTTAATTTTTCTGTGGTGATGTCACAAATGAAAAATTCAGTAAAATTCAATTCTTAGTCAAATGTTGCTCCTATAATGTATTTTATATATGTTAAAAAATAAGCATGTCATAAAATATCAAAGAACTACTGTATGTCATTTCACTAAATATATAGTAAGTCACCTGAGACAGTAACAGTATAGATGAGAGAAGTTGGGGGCTGGAAAGGTGGCTCGGCACTTAGGAACACCATGTCCTCTCTCTAAAGGACCCAACTTCAGTTCCCAGCACACACATAAGGAAGCTCGGAGCCACCTGTAACTCTATTCCAGAGGAATCCTGCAACCCCTTCTGTATTCTGTGGGCACCCTCATGCACGTGCACATAATTAAAAGTAAATAGTTTTTATTGTAGTATTTTTCAAGAAAGGTTATCACCATCACTACCATGGAAGCCCTAAGTTACCAGAAATTACATCAATCACTGAGAAATTTTAAGTCTTTAGGGCTAGAAGTACAGTTTAGTGACAGATACCTGGTGTTCACTAGGTTCTGGGTGCCAGCTCTCAACACTGTCCAAAAGAATCCTTAAAAAGCTTTTTTTTCCCCTTTTGCTGGGTGCATGCCTGTAATCCCAGCACTCAGGAAGGCAGAGGCAGACATATCTCTGTGAGTTCGAGGCCAGCCTGGTCTACAAAGCGAGTCCAGGACAGCCAAGGCTACCCAGATTAAACCCTGTCTCGAAAAATAAACAACAAACAAAACAAAAAAAGGCTTTTTTTTTTCTTTCTAATTATTCTGTTGGAAAATGTGTCAAGATGCTAAAATAATGCTGTAAACGTGTGTGAAGGAGGGACACGTGTGCGTGTTGCATACTCACAGAGGGCTTTAAAGGCAGGGAGCCCTGAATTACGTCTACTTTGTGGAAAATATGAAGGAGTACTCAGGAATTTAATATCAGCAAACATGTTCCCTTTGAAACGGCAAATTAGATGTGCGGGTGGGTTTCGGTCACACTTCAAAGAATAAAATGCTGAGATGGAGAACTATTCTGTTTACTCTTGCTCTCACCGGTGAGGTTTTTCTATGTTAAACAGGCTTTTGATTACTTCAAAGCGTGTTTGAAGTCCTCACTCTGCATAGCTCGAGCACAAAGACAAATACCTCTCCAAATTTGTGCTGCTGACACCGGCGTGCCTTAAATGTGCGGGTAAAAGGTGCCTGTCGGTTCCTTGTTAACACCACGTGATGCCTCTCTCATTCAGCTACGACAGTGAAGGTCGCCTAACGAATGTCACGTTTCCAACGGGAGTGGTTACAAACTTACACGGGGACATGGACAAGGCTATCACGGTGGACATTGAGTCCTCCAGCCGAGAGGAGGACGTCAGCATCACTTCAAATCTGTCCTCCATCGACTCTTTCTACACCATGGTTCAAGGTAAAGGCAAAGCATAAATTCAAATAAATAACGAGTGGGTATGTACATATACATACACACGCGAGTATAGTGTATAAAATATTGTATAGTGTATAAAATAGCACACAGACACACGCACACCTGTGTATACTGCATAGAATATTGCCAGCCTTGGAAAATATCTTTTTCAATTCTTGTTTAAAACAACTGAATTCCAGCTCTTGATGTGTGTCATCCTACCAGGCCTGTATACGCCCTCGCCTCTGCCTTCTCACTGTGGTAACTTGAGGTGTGTGGTGCTGTAATCCATTACGATGTAGTATTTGGAGCCACATATGATAGCAATTTTACCCCACATCCCAAGAAGATATTTATATAATATCTGAGCCCTGTTACAGCTTGAAATAATTACTAAATCCACACTAAACCTGTCTCACTTTGCTTGGGTTTGGTTTGGATTGACTTGTTTTTTTGTTTCTTTCTTTTTCTCTTTCTTTCTTTTTTTCAAAAAAAACTTATCCATCAAGAGACCTCTGTAATCATCTAAAAGTAATATTTCTTGGTTGTATTACTTCTACAAATGGTCCTATATTGTTCCAGAATCTTTCACTGAGACAGAGACACTAGTCTTTGATATGAAAGGGCTTTTTCTACAAGACATTAAGTGGATCCCTTTTCATTGGTAGATCTCCCCCCAAAAATAGTCAGTTTGGGGGAGAATACTACTTCTCATTTCGTGTGTGCAAGCTATGGATACTGACCTTTCCAAAGTGTCTTTGACAAAAGACAACAGAGTGTACGAAGGGGAGGTGGCACTCAGCCTACTCAAAGACAACATGCTTGGTCTATGGCAGATCCCAAAGAAGGTGAACAGTCACTTCATCCGCTAACGTCACTGACACTTTTCATTTCCTCTGGAGTTCTTCACCTTTGGTATTCAGCCAAAACTCTGGTAGCATGAAATCCCAGGAGTCCAAGCTGTCCTCCTAGTCTTGGGAAAGGCATCTGTATTTATCACTCTGTTCTGTTACTTATATTACTTTACTTGATTCATTATTTTATCAGCACCGTGATAAAATACAGTGACAGAGGCAACGGAAGGAAGGTTTTGCTTAGCTTACAGGCCCAGTGGTTTTAGACCGTGATTGCTTACTCATGCAAATGGAAGAAGAGTTTCTTCACCTTGCAGTGTATGGGAAGGAAGGCCATGAGGGAAAAGGGAGAGAAGGAGAGAAACAGAAAAAGCAGGAGGGGGAGAAGAAGATAGGTAGGTACCTGCCCCCAGGTTACTTTGCTGTAGCCAGAGACTCCAAATCTAACCCCACAAACTAAAGACCAGGCTCCCAACACCTAAATCCTTTTTGAGGGATCACTTGCTATCCAGACCATACAACATCCCGAAGGACCTCTTTTGTTTGTGCTCGGGACCCGTTCCCGCCTACTGGGTCTCCTCGCCCAGCCTTGATAGGAAGGTTTGTGCCTAGTCTACGTGCGGTTTGTTATGCCATGTTGATATCCCTGGGCGGCCTGCTCTCTTTTTTTTTTTTAAAGGGGAACTGAGGAAGAGTGGATTAGGGGAGAAGGGAGGTGAGTAGGGGAGAGGGGCTGAGAGGAGTGGGGACAGGCAGAACTGCATGCAGAATGTAATGTATGTGAAGAATACAAATTAAAATTAAATATATGTTATGTGAAAAATGAAAAAAGAAAGCAAAAAGGATATAAGTCCCCCTCAATATTTTAGAAATATTTATCATTTCTGAATACACAACTGTCAGATATTTAACACAGACAGGACAGTTCACCTTCTCTGCTTTTCTTTTCTTTTTCTTTCTTTCTTTTTTTTTTAGACCAGTTAAGAAACAGTTACCAAATTGGATACGATGGCTCCCTGAGAATCATCTATGCCAGCGGTCTAGATTCACACTACCAGACAGAGCCCCATGTCCTGGCTGGCACCGCGAATCCCACCGTGGCCAAAAGAAACATGACTCTTCCTGGTGAGAATGGACAGAATCTGGTAGAATGGAGATTCCGAAAAGAACAAGCGCAAGGCAAGGTCAACGTGTTCGGCCGAAAGCTCAGGGTAAGCAATGCTTAGCGAGGAAGAGGGGGGTGGCCAACGCTGGGCTGCGCCCAGCGCCGCTCTGTGTAGACAGCCTGCCTGCCCGGTCAGGACTCGCCGCCTGCACCCTCATCTGTCTGCGCTGGGTGCATGTCACAAATCGTACCAGCCATCAAAACCCTCAAAAGATGAAAAGGAAAGTCCTCCCTGGGAGGTTGAGGGATTGCGTGTAACGTAGTCTCTGGCTGTCACGTGAGCCTTGCTTGGCTAATGTCACCCTAAGAATCTTAGGACCATAATCTTCCTCTTGCCGCTCTGTGAGCAGCAATCAGTGGCTTCTTCCTACATACGTGGGGATAAGTTAGGCCTGCCTTAAATATTGACCATTTTCAAAGTCACAAAGACGAGGTTGAAAGGGCACAAGCCAGCCATTGAGAGGTGTCTTTCTTTGCAGCCTCCGTGTGTTTGAACTGTGGTTTGGGTGTCCAACCTCAGAACCCCTATGCTGTCTCTTCGAGATTCAAAGAAACCCCACCTTTTATTGTTTGTTTTTTTTTTTTTTTTATAAGAAATATGGTGTTTCTCATTATGCTGGTGTAATTGAGCTTTGCAAAATGGTCTCTGCATTTACTTGTTGGGTGCTTTTTTTTTTTTTTATCACTCTTACATTACAAGCCAAATGCATCTGGGAGGCAAGCTATGATTTATGGTAGCTATTTGGTAAAGACAATGTAGATTAAACACTGAAGCATGCGCTGCAAGAAATCACCTTCAGCCACAGTAAGCTGAACCTGATTCATTCTTTATATTAGCAAACAGAGTTTTAGTTTATCAGGTAAATGTAGATAATTCTCCCCAACATTACTTCCCTTGCCATTAAAAAAATAATAATAAATGACTTCAAATCAAGAAGCAGGAACAAAACATGAAGCTTGCTGGTAATTCCCCTCCACTCCAAATGGCTAAATTATTATCCTGAGGGGCCAGCATTATTTACCTTGGCAATTCTTCAGGGTGAGAAGCAGCCCCTAAATATCACTTCTGGCTATTTCCAAGAAATAGAAATGAAATTTCTAAAAGAATCAGTGGATCAAACATATACTCTGTCTAGCTGGTGGATTATATTCTGAATGCAGTCAATCACAAGGCTCGTGTTTAGGACCATAGCACATGGTCTCTGGAGCCAGGTCTAAATGCAGCCACCTCCTCCCTATGCCTGACTCCAGCCAGCCCCAGTCAGTTTTGGTAGAGATGAAGATAAGGGTGGGGTCAAAGTGAAGCAATGGACAGAGAAACACTCCACGTCTCTGCCTGCTGAGTCTCCTGGGTCCGTGGTCTGTTGACAAGTGAGCTTGAGTTCCTGCCTCCCTCTCCCTGAACCTAGGAGTCAGTGGCCTTGTTCATCTGCAGCTGCCACTTCCTGTATCAGCCCGGGCCCTCCTTCCTCAGCCATTGCAAATGAGCTTGCAGGCTTTGCCTTTCTTACTCAGTGGTTTCTGAGTACATATGCACCTTAGTCACAGAACACACACAAGTCACGATCTCACACATATACTCGAGTCACTGATACACACACAGATACACACAGGAGTCGCAGACACAAGTCATAGGCCTACACACACACACATATGTATACAGGAGTCACAGTCTCATGTAAACACACAAGTCGTAAGCATACACATACACACATACAAAGGAGTCACAGTCTCACACAATCCCATGAGTCACAGGCACCAACACACAGGGGTCACAAGCACACCACTCCTGACACAGTGGCCTTCATCAAAAGACACAAAGAACTCTCCTTCAGTTTGGGCTTTCCCAGCCCTGAACACCAAAGACAACATAACACTTACCTAGAATTTAAAAAAAAAAAAAAAAAACCCACAGGTTTTGGTCTCTGGCTCTACTATCTTTAAACTATTGTTTATTTTATTAAACTGGGAAGTTTTCATGCAAGTATTTAATGTGCTTTGAGCATACCCCCTGCCCTGACCCAAGCCCTTCCCAATTCCCACTTCTTCCCATCCTGTTCATGCCCTCTGGTTCTCTAGACAGCTTCACTTCTGCTTCAGTGGAATCACTACATCCATGAATCTATATAAAAGCTAGCAACCATAATAGAAGAAAAAAAAATGTGATTTTTCTTTTATCTTTGAAACTGACTAGATTGACTTAATATGTTTATCTCCAGTTGTGTCCTTTTTCCTGTGGAAACATGGCATCATCATTCTGGCTAAAAAAACAAAATCTCATTGTGTAAACACTCCACATTGTTATCATCCATCCCTTTATAGCTGCACGTGCAGGCTGGTTCCATAACATACCTATTATGAGTAGGACTGTAGTAAATGGGACCAAATAGTTCTGCAATCATGAAGTACGCATAGCCAACAAACACTTGAAAAAAAAATATTCTGCACTAGCTGTCTAGTTTTCTGTTACTGTGATTAGAACACCATGACCAAGGCAACTTAGGAAAGAAAGCATTTAATTTGGAGCTCATGATTCCAGGCGGTTCAGATCCATGACCATCATGGCAAGGATCATGGTGGAAGGCAGGCGTGGTGCAGGAGCTATAGCTGAGAACTTAGCATTCTGATCCACAAGCATGAAGGAGAACGAGGGAGCTAACTGGAAAGGAAGTAGGCTTCTAAAACCTAAAGCTCACCCCAGTGGCACACCTCCTCCAATGAGGCCGCACCTCCTAATCCTTCCCAAACAGTCCCAATAACTGTGGCCCAAACAGTCAAGTATCTGAGCCTATAAGGGTCATTCTCATTCAAATCCCAACAGTGCCTATCAGAAAAATATAGTATTGCAATTCCATCTCACCTAGTGAGAATGACACTGGCTAAGAAAACAACAAGTCCCCGGCATGTGGGCGAAAGGCGGGAATCGGTACAACTGATGGTGGGATCAGAATCAGTGGAGCCACTGTGGAAATCAGGACAGACTTTCCTCAAGAGGGCAAGAATAGGTGTAAATACAACCCAGTTCTGGGAATCTCTCCAATGGTACAAGTTTTTTTTATAGTAGCGTATGTTTTAGGCCGTTTGTGTTCTGCCCACACACTACATTTATATTAGAAAACAGATTATATAATATTATCTAGATAATAACCACAGCATTGTAATCTTGATAGGTTTTATACTGCTCTGTTACAGACAGGATCGTCTCTATTCACGTAGTCATCACCAGTGCTGGTGATCCAGTGTAAAAGTGCTTTGGAAATAAAAAGCATGCTCACATATCCCTAACCCTAAACCACATGTGCAAAATGTTGGGTTTTTCTCCCCACACAGCTCATGGCTAGGAGAGAGAGCTGTTGAGTTACCTGTGAAGGACAATGTCTGTAGGAAGAGGGAAATACTTTGTTCAAAGGCTACAATAGTGAATTCCATGCCAGCCTTGGAGGAAACAGAGAGGAGAGAGGGGATGGGGGAGAGGGAGAGCGAGATCGCAATCTGAAGTCCCTGGTCCTGTACCCGACTCTAAATGGAGACAGTACCTCTGTAGAGGGAGGAAGGAGTCATACACACAGACGTAAGCATTGATGTCTGTCTAAACAGCAGAAATACGATGCCTCAGCAAAGACGGCTTCAGAAGGAGCAAATGCGCTCCATCAACTGGCCCGCTCAGTCCCACTGACAGCAGATAGCCAGCTGACAGCTGGGATTGCTCCCCCAGAGACAATGCCCACATCACAAGGGAAGGTTTCTGATTGGATGAGCCAGCTCTCACTGCTAATTTCATTCCTCCTCTGTGGAGTCCAAGAGCAGAATTCCAAGTAGAAAGTACCGATGGGAAAGGCTGTTTGAGGACTGAACCTGGGGCCCACTGAGATGGGGAAGGGAAATGAGGGTGGGCAGCCCGTAGCCACGTAGCCACGTGTGCCCTGAATGAGTCTGCAGAGCCATTTGCATCCCTCCCCTTCCTGAGACAAAGAATGTCTCCATTGTCCCTCTCAGTATTTTCTAACAGAAGGTTCTTTTCATTTTCTGGTTTTTGACTTAAATTTAGCCACGTGCCTGCCACATGGTGGACGCTCAAATATTTATTCAGTGAATGAAAGAATGAGGAGAGACAGCCTTGCAATATGGATTTGACGGTGTCTCATTGCATGTAGATGGTCTGAGGAAAAGAGGCTGCGTGCGTGGTGTCTGGCCTTGCCGATGGTCACTTGCTAAAAACAAACCTAGTACTGCACTGAATAGCTAGGTGACTGATAGATGGGTAGCTACTTATTGTACAAAGTGTGTTACATAACAGAGATTTAAAAAGGTGAAGGGAAGGCAGGAAAGGGAAATTTCTGTTAGAAACCGGTAAGTGCATTTTCTATGAGACAGTGCGCTGGGGACAGGAAGGATAAATACAGTATAGACACATGGAACCTGGCAGCAATGCAGGAAAGCATGGCAGAATAAAGATCATTCAGGGCCTTGCTAGCTAGTAGCTACACTTAAAAATAAAAACAGATGCGGGCTGGTGAGGCGGTTCAATCGGTAAAACACTTGCCTCGCAAGCGTGAGGGCCCAAGCGCAGACCTTATAAGCAACTTTAAAAAGCCCAGCAGAGTGGCACACTTGTAATCCAAGCACTGGAGAGGCAGAGGCAGGCGCATCCCTCAGATTGGCCGGCCAGCCAGGCAGCCTGATTGCCAAACTTCAGGACAATGAAAGATCCTGGTTAAGAAGAAGAAGAAAAAGAGGTGATCAGCTCCTGGGGAACAACACCCAGGGCTGGCCTTTGGCCTCCACCCACATGCACACCACAAACTCACAAATAGATGCATGCATAGTAGTTGCTTGTATTTGTATCACATGTATTGTAGTTGCCATGTGATAGCTGGTAAGGAGACAAGGGCCTGGGGCTGCAGAGATGGCTCAGTCGGTAAAGCTTGGAGGCAAAAGTGAGGACCTGATTTCAGATTCCCAGAATCCACATAAAGCTCCCTAAACTTGTTACTTAGATTAGCACACATCTGTAACATCTGTGCTTTCACGGCAGAATGTGGAGCC